TTAAAAAACAGTACAAGAAATTGGCATTAACCCTACACCCCGATAAAAACCCGTTTATTGCCTCGGAAGAGGCTTTTAAGCGTGTAGGGGAAGCTTTTAGGGTTTTATCGGATAGAATTAGGAGGAAGGAATATGATATGAGCTTGAGAATTGCTATGCAGAATGAGGCTGAGGCTGCGGCGGGGCGGCTGGAGGTGGGGTTGAGGAGGTGGAGACGTTTTGGACGCGTGTTCGACTTGTAGATTGTTGCATAAGTTTGAGAGGAAGTATTTGGGGCATAATTTGGTTTGCCCTAGTTGTAAGAAGAGTTTTAAGGCGGTCGAAGTGGAGGTGGAGGAGGAGGAGGAGGAAAATGCTAGCACCGTTCAGAGGGGTGAGGAGGGGGAGAATGTTGGTTTGAGAACAAGTGAGAGAATTAAGGCGAGAAGGCTTGGGAAAATGAGTAGTGTGGGGGGGGTTTTGGAGAGGTCTGGAGGGAAGCATAAGGGATTGAGAGAGAAGCTGATGGTGAAGGATTTGGAGAATGTGGGGAGGAAAAGGGGTTGGAGGGTGGTGGCGATGATGGGGTGATTGAGGAGTTGAGGTCGAGAAGTAAGAAAAAGGAGGGGAGGACTGGTGGGGTTGAGATGGAGGAGAGAGCGACGACGCGGGCAAGGACGAAGAGGGTGAAGGTTGATGAAGAGGAGACGATGACATTGGCTGAAATGCAAATGTTAGCGAAGAAGAAGGTGAGCCAGCAGAAGATGAAGTTGAAAGCAAAGGAAAAGGAGGTGGAGGAGAGGGAAAAGGAGAAGGATAAGAATATGGGAAATGAGGAGTTAAAGGAGAAGGAGAATGAGATGGAGACGCAAAATGAAAAATCAAAGGAGAAGGAGATTGAAATGGAGAATGAAAAGGAGGAGGAGGAGATAGAGAAGGATACACAAAAGAAGCAGCAGAAGTTAAATGAAAAGGAGAGCAACATGGGATTGGAAAGAGTCAATGAAAGGGAGAAGAGGGGTAGAAAAATGGGAGTTTCATCAAATGAAAAAAGCATGGAAGTTGTGGGCAGAAGGGCTTCTAGAAGTAGTAGGGACTTGGTAATTGAGAAGCGAAAAAGACCAAGACAGAACAATAGGGAGATTGTGGCAGTGGAAGCTTCAGATTTTTACAATTTTGATGAGGACAGAGTGGAGAGGAGCTTTAAGAAAGGCCAAGTTTGGGCTATTTATGACAGTGAGGATGGAATGCCAAGGCGTTATGCTTTGATTGATGAAGTTGTTTCTCTGAATCCTTTCCAGGTGAGATTGAGTTGGTTAGAATTTCAGAACAACGGTGATGAGCAGTTAATTGGTTGGGAGAAAATTGGATTTCATATTTCTTGTGGCAGATTCAAGGTTTCTGAAAAGGCTTCAGTTAAATCTCCAAAAATGTTTTCACATCTTCCTGATTGTGAAAGAGCAGCAAAAGAAGTATATAGGATCTATCCAAAGAAGGGTTCTGTTTGGGCGCTTTATGATGAAAATGCTTTGGATTCAGGGAGAAACCAAATGAAGAATAAGGGGTGCTATGATATTGTTGTGTTTTTAACTAGCTACAGTGAGATACACGGCTTGAGTATGGCGTACCTTGAAAAGGTTGATGGATACAAGACAATCTTTAAGAGGAAAGAATTTGGGGCTCATGCTGTTAGATGGCTTGTAAAAGATGAGTTCAGACTGTTTTCACATCAGATTCCCGGAAGGAAGCTTTCTGGAGAAGAGGCCCCTGGCCTTCCTAGAGACTGTTGGGAGCTTGATCCTGCATGTCTTCCTCCTAACTTGCTTACTATTGGTTGGGTAAATAAAGATGTTGGAACAAAACTATAGTTAGGCAAGTGAATGGATGATTGCTTCCTTGCTTTAAATATAAAATGAAAGACTGTCAGACTGCAAGGGATGTGACTAAATAGAAAGATGTCGAAAAATTTTCTTTTGATGTAAATAGTCACTTCCGGATACACTTCTTGTTGTACAGCAACATATAATGTTTGGTCTTCACTCTCAAATTGGATTACTTAGGCCTTCTCAAGCTTATAAATCTTGCTCTTTCTTAAAATGAATGAAGTGCACGGCCTGTAAATTATTGCACTAGTCAAAGATCAAGGGCAAGGGGAGGGGCAAAATTCTATAGGCTGAAGGAATGCATGCGCCTATTCTTTGTTAGAAGTAGTCATTATTGTTATCCCTTAAAAGTCATGTGCATCTTTGAATTGATCTGTTAGTTGCAGGGAGAAGATATATTTGTTCTGTTATTTGACAAGAAATGATGATTACAATTGAATGTCCTGATTTTAAGCTTAAGCATGTATAGGACTGCAACACTTAATGGCTAGTCTCAGCTTCTTTCACCTATGGTTTCTGATCTTGGCATCCACCTGAAGCTTTTTGCCTAGTTACTCTGGACCCAGTCAGGGTGTATTGCAACAATTAGAAGGTTGGAGAAGTAAGAATGGTTTGCAGGGGAGTGCTAAGACTTCTGATATCAAGTCATTAGAAATATGACTTGGGCTATTTTGGCCGCAGATTCTGAGGGGCTGTGAGCCAACTCCGCTTCACTTCCTGCAAGTTTGTTACTATTTAGTGGAAGATTTCTACCTGCGCTCTGTTGAAGAGCGGTGGCCTTTTGCGGAGGATCATTTGGCACTGGGTCCTGCTAGACAAGCATCTATTTACCCATTAACGGGTAAATTTTCCCTTTTTATCAGGTTCTGTTTCCTAGTCGCTTAATTCCAAACGAACTTCATACAAGAGATTTTACTCTTCTGACGTCTGCCATAGTTTGAAATTTAATGTCTGATGGCCCTAATCTACAAATAGAGCTTCCATACCACGAATAACATGATAAAAGCGTAGTAATATCTGTGTGCATATTTAAGTAAATAGAAATAGATAAATAGCAGTTGGAGTTATTATTATTATTATTATTATCTCGTAGAAGTGATCCTTCTTGCCAAAACCTTGCAACTATAAATTTTTTGCCAGGAGAAAAAGATTTTTGCTTTAATGCAGGGGAGGGTTTATGGATAAAAAATTCTGGGCTTCTTAGTGATTATGTCGTTGTTAGTTGGATGCTTGAATTGCCCTGTACTTTCTCCTGTTTGTTTAGCAGCTCCCAATTCTGGTATCAGACTTTAGGTTTTGAGTCATGAATTAGAATAAGAAAGGGTTTGTTTGGATATCAAATTTTTTCAAATAATATTTCGTTTGCATTATAAACACATTTTTCAACCTATCTTTTTATATTTATAATCACATTTTTATTTCATATACATCATATCATGAAAAGTGTTACAATAATTATTTCAAATGCGATCCAATTTTTTCCATTCTGTTGGCTTATGTCTTTATGGTAGTATTGGCCGAAAGAAACTTTCGCTTAATGGGGGAAAACATCTTCGCTAACTGAAGAAGACCGGTCTACTGTTTGAAAAAGAATTCCTAACATTGACCGATTAAGAAATCCATGGAAAAGACCATTGACTTGAAGAAAAAAAAGAACAAGAAACAGAGAGTGAAGTGAAGCAAGGGTTTTATAGCAAAAGATTACATTCTCATAAAGTATTCAGAAGCCCATTAAACAACCTGTAGATGTTTTACCCAGAGACATGTTCAAATGGTTAGGAAGGAGGAGGAGGAAGGAGGAGGGGGGAGGAGAAGAGGAAGATGGAGGAGGGGGGGGGGGGAGGCTGGTGTGTGGTGATTTTTTTTTAATTTTTAGAAAATACTTCAATAAAATTTTAAATTTTAAAAGCACCCTCCAAATAATTATAGTGTAAGTTTTTCATATATAATATTATGGATTTTTGACATGTGCTCATTAATACACGTAATATTCATCTTTTATTTTTTTTTTTTTTTTAAGTGTAAGCTAGAGAACTCGAGCGCGGAACCTTTCGCTTACACTCCCTCCTCCCGTACCACCCAACTCATCCCTCCCCCCACGTAATATTCATCTAACTTTTGTTTGGATTGCAGTTTTCTGTCGAAAAATTACGTTGTTTTCCGTGATTACATTTTTCTATTACCTTTTTCCCTCACATATATCAAATCGCTACAGTAATTTTTCCATGAAAAATCATGGAAAATGCAATCCAAACACAATCTTATCATTTATATACACACGCTAATAATTATTATCTTCCGTTGCATTTATATACTTTCCGTATTTAATCTTATCTACCATTTCTTGTATTTATTTGTGAAGATGCTAGAATGGAGATTTGAACTTGGGATCTCAAGGAAGTAGACTAGCCACCCATTTGTTTCTTGTATTTATTTACTTTGTCTAATTAATGTTATATTTTAAAAAATATGATATTTGAAATATATTTTAACAGGTGTCAATATAGACAAACCCTAATATTATAGTGTAGCCTTTTTGCAAAAAAAAAAAAAAAAATCAAACTAACAATATTGGCCTGATACCCATTTTCAATAAATGACCGAGATTGAGCCTCACATACGTGAGTTTTGAGCAGGATGAGGCCTTTATTATTTTTTATTTTCGGTTGAAGTCTGAGTGGGTTGGGTTCAAATCAACAAGTCAGATTTTTCCATTGCGCTGATAGGGTCTGCAAACCCAATTTACTAAGCCAAATGATGATGGGCTTAAGGCCAGGTTCTACGTCGAGCTGGATCGAACTAGGTGGAAATAGTTTCAGTGTGAAGTGGTGTAGTATGGTACAATGGGATAAGAGAAAATTTTTAAGTGAACATGATAATAAAGGCTTTGAATTTTCAATCTTTAAATTAATCTTTATTTCCTCTGTCCCTTCTTTGTACAGCTGTCATATGTTTCCAATTTTTTGATAATCTAAACTCAAACAAACCGATAATAATCAGTTGATAAGTTTGCTTTAATTTTTGCCGGAAGGCAAGAAAGTTCCTTTAATTTGATTTTCTTTTGATGAGTTTTCGTCAAGAAAAATACCTTCAATTGACAAGAACTAATGGTCCTACAGGCATCTTGACTTTGACTGAATGAGCACCATCGCTTCTACGCTAGTGAAATTTCCTGAAAAGAACGATCAGGTTCTGTTACCTTACCTCAGTAGTCAATATGGTCAATTAGGTAGTTCTCAATCAACCAACTGTTTTCACTGGGATTGGAATTCCACACGGCATTGCTTCTCAAGTCCATCAGGTCTTGCTGAACACATTGCATTTGCTCCTCAGCAGTCAGCGCTTCCACCCTGCAAAATGAGTTTTCGGCTTCAATTTTGGTCTGCTTTCCTCTGTTATTGTCTATATTTCCTATACTCCGTAGCACTAATCAAACCAACTACAGCCAGCAGTTTATTCAGTTCCTCAAATGAGACTGACCGGCAAGCTTTGCTTGCCATCAAGTTTCAAATTGAGAGCGATCCTTTCCAGTTCATAACTTCTTGGAACAATTCTTCTCATTTTTGCAGTTGGCATGGTGTCAGGTGCAACACCATGGATCAAAGAGTGACTGCCTTGAACCTGTCATCGCTGGAAATCAAGGGAGCTTTGTCCGCTTCCATAGGCAACCTGACTTTTCTTGAGGAACTTATCCTTGATAATAATTTCTTTCGTGGCACAATACCATATTCACTGGGGAATTTATCCAATTTACGCATCCTTAGTGCATCAGATAACGTTCTTGAAGGGAGGATTCCTGAAGAACTTGGAAAGTTATCCAATTTGGAGTTTCTTAAATTGTCTTCCAACAAATTGTCTGGTGAAGTACCCTTGCAGCTTTTCAAAATCTCATCAATTCGGTATCTTAATCTTGCCTCCAACTATTTAAATGGTTCTTTCCCCTCAGATTTCGGCCTGAACCATTCAAAACTTCATACTTTCGTCGTTGCAGAAAACCAGTTTTTTGGACCTCTGCCTGTATCCATTACCAATGCTTCAGGACTTGTAATCTTGGACATTGGTACAAATGCTTTATCTGGACCGGTACCCATGAATATGGGAGACCTTAAACATTTGCAAAGGTTAGATATTTCAAAGAATCCTCTTGGAACTTCCGATAGTACTGGCTTAAACTTTCTGACTTCCTTGACTAATTGCACTATTCTGAGAATTCTGCATTTGTATGCCAACAATCATGGAGGCGCTTTGCCCAATTCTGTTGCAAACCTGTCCACCAAACTCACATCTCTAAGGCTTGACAGAAACTATATATCTGGGGAAATCCCTGATAACCTAGAAAAACTTGTCAACTTAGGGAATTTGGCAATGAGTCAGAACATGCTGACAGGGCGCATCCCTGAATCTATTGGGAAACTAACCAAGCTAGAGGGCCTCTATCTTTCAGGAAACAAATTCATCGGTAAGATCCCTGGTTCCGTTGGAAATATTACTCAGCTAAGTATCCTTGAAATGCGAGGAAACAAGTTAGAAGGAAGAATACCTGTATCTCTGGGTAACTGTAGAAGATTGCAAGGATTGGATCTGTCACGTAATAGGCTTACTGGCACAATACCTAAAGATCTTTTTGGCCTTTCTTCACTCACTTACAGTCTCAACTTAGCACACAACCTTCTCAGCGGAACTTTACCAATAGAGTGGGTAAACTTGACACATCTTGGGAGCTTGGATGTTTCAAACAATAGATTGTCTGGAATTCTTCCAGTTACCATTGCCAATTGTGTATTTCTGGAGTTTCTTAGTCTTCAGGGTAACGGTTTTAGCGGTCAGATCCCTGAAGGATTGAGCAACTTGATTAGCATTAAACTCCTAGACCTTTCCAGAAATAACATTTCTGGTTTCATTCCTCAGAGACTGGAAAGCCTTCGCTATATACAGTATCTGAACCTTTCATTCAATTCTCTGGAAGGCGAAGTCCCAGTGAAGGCCTCTTTTTTAACTCTACAGCTTTTTCAGTAACTGGAAATGGAAAGCTTTGTGGAGGTGTGAAGTCTTTACAGTTGCCTAAATGTCAGTGGCTATTACCATCAGCGGAAGGGAAGAAAAAGGTTTTGCGAAAACCATTGTTTGTAGTTCTGATCCTTGTTTTCGTTATTTTCCCTATTGTTTTGCTGCTAGCTTACGTTCAGCAAAAATGCCAGAAAAAGGTAATTTTTGGTTATTTTCTGCACGTTCCTTGTATCCGTTGGTGGCACAAAAGAAATACAAGAATTTCCAGCATAGAGCTAACATCAGATTCTCCTCTGGGAGATCAATTTCCTAAGATTTCTTATACAGAACTTTTTCAAGCTACAAATGGCTTTTCTGAAGGCAATTTGATTGCTAGGGGAAGATATAGTTCAGTCTACAAGGGCAGTCTTAATTACAATGACAAAACAGTTGCTGTGAAGGTAATCAACCTTCAAAACCAAGGATCCAGGAGGAGTTTTACTGCTGAATGTGAATCACTGCGAAATGTTCGTCACAGGAACCTTGTCAAGATCATTACAGCTTGCTCAAGCAGGGACAATGAAGGCAATGAATTCAAAGCCTTGGTATATGAGTTCATGGCTGGTGGGAGTTTGGAGAGCTGGTTGCATCCAAGTTCAAGTAACTTAATGCAGCCAAAGAACTTGAACCTGATTCAGAGGCTTAATATTGCCATAGATGTTGCCTCGGCATTAGTGTATCTTCACCACTTCTGTGCCATTCCAGTCATTCATCGTGATATAAAGCCAAGTAACATTCTTCTTGACAGTGAACTCTGCGCACATTTAGGTGACTTTGGCTCTGCGAGGTCTCTTTTGCTTGCGATTGATAGATCAAGATACGAAGGAATCGTGCAAGAACAATTGAACTTGTAGGAACTGTTGGATATGTTGCTTTAGGTAATTATGATACACGTTTTACTTCAATCTTTACTAATGAAAATCTGGTATACTTTTTCTTGGTATCTTTTTGAGGTTAATGAGAATCTAGGAACACCTTAACTCAGCCAAATACCTGCTAATCCTATGCATTGATGCCAAAAATTTGCTCTACCAGTTATGCCACAAAAAAAAAAAAGCATGGGTCTTGATCTGGTTTAACCAGTTAAATCAGTAAAAGAGGGCGGAGCTTTATCCTTGGGTCAACCTCATATACTTAATCAAGTGATTATTATAGTGATGAGCTCTCATAATATAGAAAGTGCTTAAATGAAATGGAAAACTAACTTCCCTCTAACAGAGAATTGGCATGGAGCTAAATGGGCTCTCATGGTTCTTTCGGTACTGGATCTAAACTTCAGCTGGAGCCTAATTCTTCTTATGATTAGACCCATTGATTTATTTTGGACTCAACATTATGCAAAATCTGTTGAAACCCACAGCCTCAGTTGAAGCATTGCTGCATTTTTGTCACTTTTAGATTGTTATATATGTTTTTCAAACTGTTTGAGCTCACTGATTTCTTTGTTTCCCCGCTCCTTTTGGCAAAAACAGAATGTGGCATGGGGGCACCAGCATCAACACTTGTTGATGTCTATAGCTATGGTGTCTTTTGCTGGAGATGTTTACTGGAAAAAGGCCCACAAACAGCATGTTCGAAGATGACTTTTCCCTTCGTAACTATGTGAAGATGGCACTCCCAGATCAAGCTATGAGGATTGCTGATCCTAAACTATCATCAGAATGCGAAACTGAGTCAGGCATGATGGCCACTGACACTCAGACCAGATCATGCGCCAGACATAGGTTTGAAAAGTGCCTGGCTTCAATTTTCCATATTGGGGTTACATGCTCAGCTCATTTGCCAGAGAGAAGGATGCACATAGCAGATGTTTTCATGGAACTGCAGGCTGCTAGAGACTTGTATTTGAGGTGTGGATAACAAGGTAAAATGACTTTATGGATGATAACATAGCAATTTTAAACCATAAGATATTTAGGGTCACCACATTTTAAGATAACATAGCAAAGTATGATCTAAGGACGAATCCCTATTTAGAGTTAGAAGAAATGAGTAAACGATTTTTTGTTGAACAGCAATCAAGTAAATCTTATTATGTATTTACTTGTTGGTTTTTCTAATGTTATATTAGTTCTAGGATTAAAGTACTAGTCTCCGTTCCAGGATTAACTAGAAGATTATGGCTGGATTAGGGGTTTTATTGTTAATTATGTTTATTTGTTTTAGCGAATTTCTAGTGGCAATTTTGTAAAATAAAACAAATTTGTGGGCTATAGTTCAGATTAGCAGAAATTTCGAGGTTGAATTAAAAAAGAAAAGGAAGGATCACCGGATCATTTTGCTGTCGGTGCCTCTCTCGGCTCGCTCTTGCTGCAACCTTGCCCTAAATGAATAAACAACCTTGCCCTAATATAGATGGACTATTATAAAACTAATGCTAATGTGATGTAAGATTTGAGTTGTTTTTTTGTGGTGGATAATATGTTAAGAAAGCAAGAAAAATTAAAGAGTTCAAGCAAAAAGAAAAAGTAAGAAAGAACTATTCTTTCATTCAATTCAATTTTCTATATTTTTGATACAAGGGGGTAACCCAAGGGGATTAACTTATAGGGAAAAAGTACATCAACTAGTTTCCTCAAGATTGTGATATGATCTTCTCGTAAGTTGTGACGAGCCTATCACCTCGTAAGTTGTAATAGTTTTATTGATAGTTGTGCCAATTTTATCACTTTAAAGTCATGATAACTTTATCAACTTAAAAAAAGTGAAAGACTTGTTACCCATAGGAACGCCAACGGGTCCGATTCGGATCGAAATTGAAAATTTCGGAACCAAACCCATTTTTATATAGTAGACCTGGACCTGACCATATATCTGATGAATCTTGATCTTAGAGTCCCGGAACTGGGTTCGACGAGTCTTGGGTTGGATCTGGGTCTACCCGAAAAGAAAAAGGTTGAAATTTAAATATTTCAAAATTAATCACAAGTCTAATCTCCAAACTTAAACAAATTAAATTACAAAGCTAAATCACAAATAACTCGTAATAGTCAATACAAAACTAATCATAAATCAATCTACAAGGTCATTACTAAATTGTTAATCTGGTAAAAGAATTATTTAGAAATATTTATATTTTATAATTAATAACATATTGTTCGGATTCGGATCGAAATCCTATATTTCGTATCCGACCTGTGTTTGTTAGAGTATTTGGATCTGAATATCGAAATTATTTTTTAATCCAAACGCGAAAAAAGTTATCTGATTCGGATCAGGTTTGATCCAAACCCAATCCATTGACACTCCTAATCACCCATAGTGTGGTAAACATCCATAATATTTAATTATTTCATAATATGGACAAGCACCATTGGCCTCAAACTGATCGAGTGAAGAAATGCTAAGGTGCCTTGTAGTTGTTTAAAACCTATAGATCAATAGTGAGTATATCCGTATTAGTTCTCTATCATATTTTTCGGATACATATTACTATGCTCAATAACCCTTACAAACATGTTTGGGCTTTCTATGAAAACTTCTCAAGATGGAAGATTTCCCGATTTGAAAAGTTTCCCGTTTAGAAAAGCGTCAACAGATCCATCACTTTGGGCTGAACACGGTTCGGGCGCAGCCCTTGAGGTAATTCCTAAGTTATGAAAACTTTGTCTCTAATTAATCTTGGGTTTTAAAAACAAATTGAACCCTCTTGAAAACATCCTCTCAACTTTATATTGGGCTATAGTGTAAGAATTGGACCTTGAATGTCCATTTCTTTTCCTACATTTTTTTTAATTTTAAAAAGTTGATATCAGTAAATTTGCTCTGCATCTTCTTATGGCCAAATGTCATCACTTTAGTCTAAATCAACTTCATTTGATTAAGAAAAAACTACTTTTAAATTAATTGTAAAATAATCCTCAAATGCGATGTCACGTAAATGCCGTCAAGAAAATTTTACAAGTAATGAGTAGTCATTTATTATCATAAAATGTTTTCCTACTAAGTGTTATTTAATTTCTAAAATCCTTGGTAAGAAATTTTATTTGCATTCTTATTCTAATTCTAAAAGCAATAAAAGAAAATTTCTTTCCACTCTTGTTCAACTTCTAAAAGCAATGATTGTAGAAACTTTTTTAATTTCACTACAACATAAGTGATCCAAATTTTTTTTTTTTTGCGTAAGAAAAATTATTTGTACAAAGTTATGTTCTATGAATAAGATTCTAAGTTTGCATCACATAAATAGCACCAAAAGTCTTGAGACATGCGCTTGTGGATTAATGTACAGGCTTCTCTGATGCAATAATCCCGCCCAGAGTAAGCTGCTGTGTTGAGAATACTATTGAAAAGAAAATCTAAATCACGTGATCAAATTCCAACATTTAATCTAATGTAAACTAATTTCAAAAAAATATGTGAAAAACAATAAATGAAAGAAAGAATGGCATACTTTATTTTTGCAAAATTTTGATCGTTTTGGAGAAGTCTTTCAAGTGTAAATCTTCAATAACTTCCAAATCCAGACCCTAATTAGATCAAATTAATCCAACCTAAAACCCTTTACCCTTTTTTAACCATGTTTGCTCTGAAATTTCAAAAATATATTTGTCATCAAAGTGTATGGGGTTTGTGTTTGCATGTATGGTAAGGAACGATTAAATTTAACAAAATATGAACGCCTACAATTAAACAGTCTACCCCAAGATCGGGTTTGACTAAGATAGTTTATTAGGTAAGATGTGATTTTGTTACATCAGCAATGATGTCGCATTCATAATAAGTTAAGGATAAAAGTAACAATCCACAAAGAATAATCTGGACAGTGCTAAAGAAATTGACAAGACAAATTAGACAAGTGACAGGTCGTCAGCCTGTGCAATAATAATGATAAACATAGAACCTAACTACCACTAAAAGCAGTCAATAATTAATCATAGGTACTGGAGCAGGGACTCTAGGTGTGCAATGGGTTACTTGATTCACCCTGTTCCCGAAGAGTTTGCTTAACCCGATATACCAGAATTAATTAGTTGACAAAAATTACTAAATAGTAAATAGTGGCAAGTAGGGTCGTCTCCTCAGGGACTGGAAATATATGTCTCTTTTAAAGTCCAATTGATAAGGGGGGGATTTCACCGAAATGAAGCTAAGAACAATTAAACAATTTAACTAAAAATGAATAAATAACTAGCACAAATATAGCAGGAGTTAAATCAAGAATAAATAAATTCTAACCAAGAATGCAACTACTCAGGCACAGTCCATTTATCCGATCATTGATGCAAGATAGGTTCACTCAATTTATTAATAGGCTAGTTATAGCCATCGATGAACTCTAATGACCAATTTTTCCTTAATTTATAGGTGACCAAGGTACGACCATTACTCACCCCTAACCAGAAAATACTCCTAGGTACGACCGTAGGAATTAATTTTCTAATTGCATTAATAACTAGAAAAACCTAGCCCTAACCAATAACACGCTACGAGGGTTATTTAAATTAGATCGCACGTTCCCCTAATGTGTAAACACACCAGTTGCCACTAATATTAATCAATCAAACAATTACGGATTTAATTGACTAAATTGGCACGAGATTAATAAATCACATTGAACATCGGACCCTTGACATCCAATTAATAAAATAATCCCATGAAAATACAAGCAGGCAACGTGCAAATATTAATAAATTAAGGAACGCGTGAAAACTAATTAGATCTCACAGGTTTTCGAGACTGCGCCGTCGAGTTGACCCTTGACTAGATGGAAGACTTAGTCACGCCGCATAATTAAATCACCACACGAATTAATAATTTGCGAAGGCATTGTTTTTTTACTAACAAGTAAGGAATAAAGGATGTTTTCCCCGTTGGGAATATTGTCGAACACCTTGCGTGTGTTAGAGGCCAGTCCAAAGGAAAGTAAAAGAAAAACTCAAAACTGAACTAAAGGCTAAAAACTAAAAACTCGCCGGCTGTACTTAAAAGCTAAAAGCAAGAACCTCATCTTCTCTCCAGTGGTCCCCACCCAATTGGTAGTCAAAGCTACCCACAAAGAAGGCCTGCCGAATTTCCTTCTTGTTTTGCATCTCTGTACGTTGCTTTCTCCTTAAGAGCCCAATGACTAATGCTATTCCGTGGGCCTCCACCAATTGGCACAAGACTCCAAATTTCTACTTAAAGTCCCTCCTCTTTTGGTATATTTCTGCTTCATTCCTGAAATTAAATCCAGATACCAAATATAAGTGGATATCAGCCATTAACACAATATTTAGCAGGGATAAAAGGGGAAATTACTAATAAAAATTACTAACAAATGACATCCTATCAATTCCCCCACACCTGAATCATGCTTGCCCTCAAACATGGGGACAATTCAACCCAACAATGGCCAGCTTTAACAATATCATTGCCAGCTGTGCTTATACCGAAATCAAGATCTAGTGGCTAAGTGTCAAGACATATCCCTCCCGGTTAGCTCCCAAGTTCCTAGACCTGTCCAATTCATGGCTAACTCACCTATGAAATTCAAATATTAACTAGCAACAGTCAGCAATTCAGTCAACTGACAACCAAAATCTCAACAGTGCGAACCAAGGATCGGCAGGCCAATATGATCATAAACTCACATATTTGCCACATCTGAGTGCTTTCCTTTTTGTTTTCTCTTTTTTTTTTTAAATAAATTGCACGAATAATACTTAGTCCCGAGCTATTCAAGTCTTTTGACGTGAACTCTGACATTTTTAGATGAAAGAGCCCAGTTACTCAACTTTTCACAGCTCCAGGACCACTTACTCATAGATATCGCCACTTTTTGACGCGAGAGCCGACACGTGTGGTGAAGACCCCCGGTTACTGGGTGGCGACACTAGCGGAGTAAAGCCATACGTTATTCACTAATAACACCAAAATATCAAGTATTTAAAGATCATAGCCTGCGTCATTTCCTAAATATGGAGAACTAAGGTCGACAGGAGACTAATCCACACAACAATGCCAGCAAAATATTTGCATTGCCTAAACAAATTAGCCATAAATTGCACCAAGTCGTTAAACTCAAAACATTCACCAAGACAGCATGCTCTTACTTGCCACTAAAACCCAATTCATAGTATAAACTACCACTAGCAATGAAAAATGAGCTGCCAAAATATTCACCAAGATAACAATAAAGGAAAAACACCCAAAAGGGACTAAAGGAATGTTGACCTTGGTCGATCAATCCTTGTTTTGATGATTAACAAACCAAAATGTAGATTTGGGCTAATGTTTTTATGTGAGCAATTTGTTAGAACAGATTCTTGTGGCACAAAAGAAGAAGCAAAAACAGGGCACTCATG